AGGTGCGGGAGGGGCCATACCCTGTATTCCCATGGCAGAAACTGGGTTTAGGTGGCTGAGCACTCTGGTTTCTGTCCTAGCTTAGCTCTTCCCTGCTGGGTAGGCTAGGGCACTTTTACCTTTTTGTACCCCATTTTCCTTTTCTGTAAGGAAGTGGGTAAGAATACACTTAACTCATAGGTTATAAGATTCAAATATGTTAAAATACATTTAGTAAACTCAGCATGGTGGCATGTGCCTGTAGCCCCAGCATGGAGAGGCTGAAACAGGATGATTGCAAGTTCATGCCCAGTTGGGCAACTTGGGTACTTAGCAAGATCCTGTCTCATACTAAAAATAAAAAGGGATGGGGATTGAGCTTAATGCAAAGGCCCTGGGTTTAACCTCCATTATCGGAAACAAAAACACATTATATATAAAGACCATTCATACCACAGTAAATGCTCCATAGTAGCTAAAACTGGGCATGGTGGTGCACACCTGTAACCCCTGCTCTTGGAGGCTGAGGCAGGAGGATTGTTGCAAATTTGAGGCCAGGCTGGGCTATATAAGGCCCGGCCGGCCTGTACTATCTGGACTATATAGTGAGATCCTATCTCAAAAATAAATAAATAAATAAATAAATAAATAAATAAATAAATAAATAAAATTTTCCTGTCTACCTCAGTGACTGTCCATTGTTTGCATCTGAGGCTTCTACTTGGGTACCACTGCGAAATGCCTGCCAGGCATGGGCTTTAGGGAGCTGGGACAGGACATGCTGAGGCCTGGGAGCAGCCTTGCTTGCTAATCATCTCTGGCCACTCCACTTATTTCAGCAGACCCTGACGAATTAGTTGGAACTTCCCTCCCTACTCCTCCACCTCTGTCCCTATTCTTTTCTCTCTCTCCCTTCTACACTCCCTCCTCCTCTCTTTTTCTTTTCTTCCCTTCCTCTCTTTCTCCTTTCCGTCTTTGATTCTGTGCGTGTGCGTGTGCGTGTGCGTGTGCGTGTGCGTGTGTGTGTGTGTGCCTATCTACCTGTCTGCTTTCTGTCTGCCTGCCTGCCTGCCTGCTTGTCTGTCACTCACTCTCTCTCTCTGGCAGTTCCCAGATTGAGCCCAGGGCTTTGCGCAGGGCAGCCAGGTGTTCTACCACTCAGCTGTCTCCTCAGCTTCCCTTTACTTTTGGTCAGGCCAATGAGGTTGAGGGACAGCCCTTTGGAGTATTTGCAGAACTGGAAATTCCTGGGGTGGGGGCACCTCTGGATTAGTTGGTGACTAGATGAGGGAAATTGGATTAGTATTTTTTAGGAAAAGACGTGGCATTTTAGGCAAGAGCTTATGTCAAAGTAAAAGATGTCTAAAATGTTTACAGTTCCTTTTTTTTTTTTTTTTTTGGCCTTAAAATGTGACATCTACTCATATAATTTTTAAAAGGATAAATGACAAGATATTATCTCTGGGTTCTTTTTCCTTTCCTGCCTCTCCTCAGCCCCCAGTACTGAACCCTGGATATACTAGGTAGCAGGACAGTTCTTGTCAGTGAGGTTAGCAACAGAGAGGCATCTCCTCAATGGAGGCATTGTATAAGTTCTCAATAGCTCCATAACCCTCCTGCCTACAATACTCTTATGGCCAAATTGTCCACCATGGCTGATCCTGTGGATGCAGTATTCTTTGCTGGTGAGAAAGTCATGATTGATGACTAAAGAAATCTACTGTGCATTGGTGCCTCTGGACAGTGGCAATCAGGGCAGAGCAGAACTCTGTCACAACTCTTTCATTTTGGCTTTATCTCCAGGCATGGCAGAGACAGTGGGATCTTGGGCATGCATCTTAGAGATCCAGTCCACCCTTCTACCAGTGTTGATGAAGAACATTGTCTGGAAGATGGCCAGGATTTCTTACAACTTACACAATATCCAGCTCCTTCACCTCTCATTTCCCACTGATGTAGAAGTGGTGGGACTCTGCAGGGTCAACTCTTCCTTCTTGACAAGAATCCAAATGGATTCCTCCATGAACACTTCAATTATCTCCAGCACATTGAAAGCTATGGCTGATTGCAAAACCACATGGGCATTGCTGTTGAAGTTTTGGAATATGTCATAGATCTGGTCTCTGGATCCATGGCTTCACCTATCATTAGGCTCAACCAACTCAAACATCTTTTTTTTTTTTTTTTTTTTTTTTTAAATTTTTTTCCTTTTTTTTTTTTTTAAATTTTTTTTTTTTTTTTTTTTTTTTTTAAGAATTATATACTTCTTTTTTTTTTTTAAATTATTTGTTTATTTATTTATTTTTCTGTGTGTGTGTGTGTGGCCAGCTCAGCCCACCAGGGGGCGGGGCTGGCTGGCATGTGGTGCTGGGGGATTGAACCGCGGTCCCTGTGCTTTGCTGAGCTTGTTCTAAGTAGGTGCTTTAGACCACTGAGCCATCTCACCAGGCCCTCAAACATCTTGATATATGTGGGGGACTGGTATCTCCAATTAAGTCTATCAACATACAGGCAAGGGGACTTACCATGATATGAGAGCTTCTGTCTGCAGCCTCTGCACTGCAAGGCACAGTGTAGATGTGGCAGGTGGCAACAGGTGAGCTCATAGGTGTCTTATCTCAAATACTGCTCCCAAAGCCTCATGCGGGAAACTTTATTTCACAGAGGAGGAAAGTGAGGCTCAAAGGCCAAATTCAAATATAGATGTTGTGCCCAGTGTTTGGACTCCAGACCACTGATGGTTAATTACTGTGTTTTGAGTTATTGCTATTCAGTGGCTGCTTCTCCATTCCAGCCCTTAGGGAGAGCTCCTTGATGCAGAAGCTACATTTCACCACTGCTAAAGCTCTAGAATTATGTAGGTGAGGCACAGAGAAAGCATCATCAAGTGTTGGTAGAAGACTTGTTGCAGGACACTGTGATCCCAGAGGATGGGGTTGTCTCTCTTGGGTTGTGGGTAATGGCTGGAGATGTTTGTGGCAGGAAATCCTATAGCTCCTGCTGACCTCAGGGTTTGCTCTGAGCCCCAGGTCAGTCAGGCAGAACCTCTTCCTTACTGTGTGATGATTCTGTTAGTTCCTAAATACAGATGTTTCTGAGTCTAGAGCTGTACTCTCTGCTGAACTACAGCAATGTGCAGGAGGACTGACCTGCCTAAGTGCCAGGCAGGGTAGGAGAGGCCTAACAAGGAAAATCATAAAGGTGTGTCAGAGACAGGGTAGGTAAAGGTTGTTGCCGACAGAGGTATAGCCAGAGGCTAGCACAAGAGGAAGGGATGAGAGTTACAGTAGCAGACAGTTTGTAATCCTTGAAGCCAGAGGATAGATCTTTAGTCTAGTACAATTTTCTACTGTTGTGAAATGTCAGAAACCAAATTATGGCTTTACACAACTTGAATTATTGCCTTTTCCAAGACTTCCAGTAGTAAAAAGTGGGGTGCTATACAAACAGCCCCTTTTGAGTCCAGTGAGTGTGCTATGGTTTAAATGTGGCTTGTCTCTTCCAAATACATGTTGAAATTTGGTCCTCAAGATAACAGTGTTGAGAGGTGGGGCCTTTCACAGGTGACTACATTGTTGAGGAGTTGATGCCTTTGTCATGGGTATGTGTTCTTGGAGACAGAACTGGGTCTCACAAGTATGTTGTGATAAAGCAAGGCCACCTTCCTGTTTTATCTGTTCCTCTACAGGCTGCACCAGTTGGCCTCTCAATCATGAGGCCCTCACCAGAAGCCAAGCACCAGATGCTGGTGCCATCTCCCAGCCTCCACAACCCTGCCAAAATAAACCTTCCTTTATAAAGCAGGTATTCTGTTATAGCAAAAAAAAAAAAAAAAAAAAAAAAAAAGATTAAGATAGTATGTTATGCAATTTACCAACAAATGATTGCAATCTTCATTGCCCAAATAGGTCAATTATTGTCTCTGAAATAGGATAGGAGCTGACAGCATTTGGGTTCTTCATTTAATATCCTTTTGAGAAAAGGGCCAGGGAGCCTTCTTATCCTGTGACATGTAACCTTTATTTGAATGGAACTATGCATGGCATTTATGAACATAGAATTGGAAGCCACACCGTTTGGGTGCAAATACCCATGACTACTTTCTAGTTGTGTGACCTTGCCATCACTTAACCTCTACAAGTTGCAGTGCCCTGATTTCTCTCTCATCATGCAAACCCCTTTAACAGTAGTTGGCACATGGTAGACCACATAAGCTATTATTTTTATTCTTGTCCAGATACATCAAGGTAGTTCTGAATGTAACAGAAGCTGGAGAGATAGCGTAGCAGTTTACACATTAGCCTCTACAGCAAGAGGTTGTAGGTCTGAGTCTCAGGTCTGCCTTTATTGGGGCCGGGGAGATGGCTCAGTGGAATAAGCACTCCCCTGTCAAGCGCAAAGGCCTGAGTTCAATCCCTGGTTCTGCAACAAAAAAAAGCAATTCAGTTTTCTCAATAAAATTATGGAAAAAAAATAAAATAAAAATTTTAAACTAAAAAAAGGTATAAAATTTAAAAAAAAGAGGTTTCATTTCAAATTGCTAGATTTCTTGCTGTGCTAAAGTAAACTAGGGGAAGGGATCAGTTACCACGTCAGAGCTGAGTAAAAACGTTCCTTGTGGGTAAGATAGGCCAGTGGTAAGCTCAGGGACTCACAGGAAGAAGTAAAATTGGAGTGAAACAGTTCCTTACCCAAAAATCATCCGCCATTCAGCCTTTGTACTGCCCATGGCAGTGCTATGTGCTGTAGGCAGTACATCCTCCGTTTCCACAACTCTTACCTTTCTCAGGGTCCTGATGAGAAAGCCCTTCGTGACTTATTAGCATCACCAAATTACAGCAATGACGTTCAAATGTTGCTCAATTGAATGGAAGGAATTATTTGGAAAATGAATGGGGTTGAGGTGGCATGGTCTGTCTCCATCTTCATAGCAACAGCTGTAAATCTGTATCATTCTCAAGTGGGGGAGGAATCTGGGTTTCAATGACTAACATACAACTGTACATTTTAAAGATGTTTTATTAAAAATAGGAAAACCAAACAAAAAGCCCAACCCAAGAACTCTTGGTTCTAGGAGTCTGGGAGCAGCTTAGTCTGTGGATAGGGTAGAACCTGGAAGACAGACAGTATGGGATTCTACAACCCTGGAAAGAGTGAGAGCTCCACAACTCTGTCAGGAAGCACCGCCTTTTCCCAGGGTTCTCCCAGGGTACCTTTCTCTGGCTCTTATATTTATCTACTTGAAAAGACTGTGGGGTGGGCTGGAGGGCTCAGCCCCCAGAAAACAGCAGGGTGGTCAGTCTTGGAAGGCCCTTTGTTAAAGTCACCAACCATCTGGGAATGAGAGGGTGGCCCAGGCCTCAGGCATATCAGCATCACCCCTGAAGGTGGCACTCGGCCCAGTCTGGAGAGGAGGGCTCAGATGGAGAGATACATCCCCAGTTTCGGCGTAGGGCTCAAGGCCCTGGGAAAGAAAGGGACCAGATGGGGCAAGGACCTAGAAGGAGCCTCCTCCTGGGAGGTCAAGACAGGTGCCGGGATTCGGCAGGCAGGTGGTGCTCAGGGTCCCTGGGGGCCTCGGGGCAGTGACCTGATGGGTCTTGGGGGTGGGTTGTCCAGGACAGGTTCAGGCCGGGCCCGTGCACTGACACGACGCTTCTGCTTGCGCAGCAGGTAGTTTGAATACTGCACCTCAGGCATGGCCAGCTTGATGCAGGCCTCAGTGGCAGGGCCAGCGCCACCAGCGCCGCCTGGCAGGTCATAGCCCATGATGTCCACCTTGCGGCTGGGTTGCCATGGCTGAAGCTGTTTGGTGCGTATCTGCGCGGCGGGCCTCAGCACCGGCTTGTCGCCGAAGCAGCGGCGCAACAGGCGCTGGCGAGCATCCCGCAGCTCCTGCGCCTCGCGCTCCACGCACGCGCGGCCGGCGCGCGCCACGCGGCGCCAGAAGGTGGCGTTAAAGTGATCGTAGAGGCCGGCGTCGAGCGCGTTCCAGGTGCGGGCCGCCCGCGCCAACGCCGCGGGGATGGCAGCCAAGCGCGAGCTAGCAGCACGCGCGTTGAGTTTGGCGTACAGTACATCGTCCAGGTCCCAGGCCAGCAGGCGCCGTAGCAGTACTAGCGATTCGTCGAAGTACTCGGCAATCATGACCAGTGAGAAGACCTCCTCCACCTGGCGGATGAGGCCCGCCAGGTAGGCAGCGTCATCGCGTGGGCTGCGCTCGTTGTCGCCACCGAGGTCATAGGCCAGGGTATTGTGTGCAAACATGGCGAAATGCTCACCCGCACGGTAGTAGGCCTCAGGGGCGTGTAGAAAGGCTTCCAGTGACGCATTAGGCACGCGCCGGAAGGCTGGGCAGTACTGGTTGTAATAGCTAAAGAGTGACTCAAACATGGCTGCTGGCTCGCGCAGGATGGTGACGTAAATGGTGCCTGGTGGCATGAGGCGCTCGAGCTCTGAACGGTCGAAGCGCAGGTGGCTGGCTAAGACTTGTGGCGGCCGCGTGGCCGGATGCACGAAGTGTGCTGAGAAGTTGCGTGGGTAGCAGAACTGGTGCTCACAGCTTGGGTGTGGCAGGGCCACTGTCAGGTTGTGGCGCTCTGCAAAGCGGAACAGGATATTCTGCACCGTTGTGCCTGCTGTCTTGTGCGTCTTAAGGAAGGCCACTGTCATGTGCTTGGGGCGCGGTGGTGACTCCCGCAGAGGAGGGCAGCTCAGAGGGAACAGTTTGGGGTACCTGCAGGATGCAGAGGTGTGCCAGAGGAGCATATGAGAGGGTGTGGCTTGACCCTTTTCCCTCCCCCAGGATGGCAGATGTGTTCTAGATCAGCCTAGCCATGGAACAGTAGAGGAATGAGCCCTTTAATCACCACTAGCCTCCTGATATCTAAATTCTTATGTATTCCCTTCCTCTTGGGTATGGCTGGACTTAATGATATACCTGTTAAATAGAACAGAACAGAAATGATGGATGTAATCTCTGAGATTATATCAGAAAAAGGCTTCTGTCTTTTATTTTTCTACTCTTCCCAGGGTAATTCATGTTGGGAGAAGCATATGGTTGGCACTTCTATAAGAGTTACCACATGGGAACAGCCCCAACTAGGGCAGGATCTATTAACCTGATGAAAGAACTGAGACTACTAGACCATAAGCAAGCTTGGAAGAGAAACCTAATCAAGTCTTAGACTGCAGTGTGGCAAACACCTTGTTTCAAGCCTATGCAAGACCTTGAACCAGAGCTAGTTAGCAAACTACTGGATTCCTGACCCACAGAAACTGAAAGAAAATAAATACTTGCTTTCAGCTGCTAACGTTTTAATTTACGCAGAAATAGAGAAGGACCAAGGTCCTTGGAGGTCCTTGACAATTCCCACTCTACAAATGTGGAAACTAAAGATCAGAAATAATAGTGGTCAATAAAATTATGGAAAAAATAAATAAAAACCTTCATCTTCCATCTTAAAAAAAAAAAAAAAGAAATAATAGTGGTGATTTACTGTTATATTCTAGATACTCAGGAGGCTGAAGTAGGAGGATTTGCAGGTTTGAGGCCAGCTTAGGCAACTTAATGAGACCTCACAAAATAAAGAGGACTGGGGCTTGGTGTGACGGCACATGCCTGTAGGCCCAGCACTCAGGAGGATGTGGCAGAAGGATTGCTGCAACTTCGAGGCCACTCTGTACTACATAGTTAAGACCCTGTCTCGAAAACAAGCAAACAAAAAAAGGACTGGGGCTGTAACTTGAGTGGTGTACCCTAGATTTGTCCCCAACAACCGCCTTCACACACTAAGACCAGTGGAGAACAAAGAAAAATAATCAAATCCTCATGCTTTTTCTGAGTTTTTCACATTAACTAGTTCCTTACTTTTTAGGTGGCTATACTAAGCTTTATGGCAAAACACCATTTGTGAAATTTCTTTTAAGGTACAGCCTTATTCATTTATTCAACAAAGACTTTTTTTGAGTTCTACCATGTGTCAGGCACTGTTCAAAACTCAAGAAATACTATAGTATACAAACAGATAATCTACCTCCTCCTGAAACAAGTATTTGGGATTACTGGTGACTTGTAAGGATTTTGCAGGCTTTGACTTTTCTGTTTTTTCCTCTTTCATCCTAAGCATCATATAAACACTGAGCAGCTTTGAGAACACAATTGAGATTTTCTGTGTGTGTGTGTGTGTGTGGTACCAGGGATTGAACTCAGGACCTTGTGCTTGCCAGGCAAGCACTTATTCCACTGAGCTATCACCCTAGCCACAATTGAGATTTTCTCTCTCTCTCTCTTTTTTTTCTTTTTGTATTTTAGGTTTTTTTTTTTTTTCTTTTCTTTTTCTTTTTTTCAGAACCAGGGCCCTTGCGCTTGCCAGGGAAGCACTTATTCTACTGAGCCATCTTCCCGGCCCTTTTTTGTATTTTAGGGAAGGATGTACAAGGGTGTTCAGGGTCTCACTACTAGATTGGACTTGTAGTGATCTGCCTGTTTACAGCCTCCCAAGAGCTATGATTACAGGTTTTGCCATCTCAGCATGTGCCGGGGTGGGGCCAGCATGGCAGGCCTAGGGATTGAACCCCCAGCCCCTGAACCTGCTGGCAGGCGCTTTAATCCACTGAACTATTTGGCTGGCCCTGAGATTTTTCTCTTTGTGGGTGGTATAGGCTGAGAATGTCTACATAAACACTTATAAAACCAGCAAATCATTTGTCAAAGGACATTGGGCTCATTCACATCATTCCCCAGCAGTTGGAGTGGTGGTAGTACAGGCCTGTAATCCTAATACTCAAGAGGCAGGAAAATTGTCATGATTACAAACCCAGCCTGGGCTACATGGTGAGTTCAAACTACACAGTAAGGGCCAGCCAAATAGTTCAGCTGATTAAAGTGCATGCAAACAGGTACGGGGGGGCCGGGGAAATGGCTCAGTAGAATAAGCGCTTGACTGGCAATCGCAAGGATCTGAGTTCAATCCCCGGTTCCGCAAAAAAAAACCAACAACAACAAACAAACAGGTATGGGGGTGGGGGTTGAGGGGGGGCTGGAGAGATGGCTCAGTGGAATAAGTGCTTCCCTGGCAAGTGCAAGGGCCTGAGTTCAGTCCCCGGTTCCGCCAAGAAAAAAAGAAAAAAACAAAAAACAGGCACAGGGGCCAGAGGTTCAATCCCTGGGCCTGCTGTGCCAGCTCCCCCTCTGGGGTGCACTGAGACACCAATTGAGACTGGGTGTGGCAGCGCGTGCCTGTAATCCCAGAACTTGGGAGGCTATAAACAGGAGAATCATTATGAGATCCAATCTAGTAGTGAGACCCTGAACACCCTGTAGACCCTTCCTCCAAAATACAAAAATAAATAAATTTTTTTAAAGACTACACAGTAAGACACACCCGCCCCTGCAAAAACAAAGCAAAAAATAAAATAAAACCCAAACCAACAAATAATAACACCATTCTCCAGGGAAGATCATGTAGAAAATGGAGAATCTGATTCCCTAAGAAGTGCAGTGACTTGTTGGGTTCACAGAGTTAGGAGTAAACAGGTTCATGTGGTACCCTATATCAGGGTAACAAGTTGCACATATCATTCTTATTTTATAGATGAAGAAACCAAGGCTTGGAGAAGTAGACATTGTACAATACAAATGAAGTAATGAGAAGTTTGCAGTGCACTGGGGAGGCACTCAGCCACAATGCTGTGAAAAGGGTTCAAGCTAGATTTGAATCCCAGGTAACTCTTGGACTTAGAACAAGTCACTCAGTCTTTTCAGTGAAGATCAGTATCTGTATTGTTCAAAGATATGTATGGAAAGTACTTCCAGGATAGAGGGAAGGAACAACTCAGTAGAACTCTTCCTGCAGGTGGAAGAATGAGAAGGGGACCAGCCAGTTCTGTTGCTAACCCAAGGTGGCTTTGGGCAAACACATTTCCCCTCTTGGAGCCCTGCCCCTCCCCGTGGCCCTGACCACTTACCAGCTGAGCTGTGCCCCCTGGTGGATGAGGAGGCTTATAGTGCTGCACCCCAGCACCAACAGCAGGATTTTCCTGCGGCTCATCATCTTGGTGGCCTGCTGCAGGCGTTGGAAAATGGGTGGCATGGTGGAGCACCCACCCCGGTCCACCCAGGGCCTTGCTATCCAGGACTCCCTTCACCAGAACTCATGGGGGCTCCTGGGGCTCTGGTAGCAGGGCCAGGGTTCCTGAGAAGCCTGGCAGGAGAAGCAGGCAGACGAGTTTGCGGAAGGCAGAGATGGGCTCCAGGTCCTAGCAGGTCTGCTGCAAAGGAGAACTCCAGTGAGTGGGGTGAGCAGAGAGGCCAGAGCAGATCAGATTCATACCTCCTGTTACCAAGGCCCTATCTTTTAACTGTTCCAGATAGTCTAGTCTTGGGTGGAATTACAGGGCCTGGGGTGTGGCCAGCCCTTCAGACTGCAGCCACTCTGTCCCTTGAGCCCTATCTCTGCCTTTCTGCCTGTCCTCAACTAGTCTTTGTCTTATGGCCATTTGTATCTGTTTCCATAGCAGGCTGGCCCTGGCACCTGCATATGGCTTAGAGTACAGAAGTCTCAGCTCAAAAGTTTCTGCTCCTTTCAGATTTCTTGCCAAGTTATTTCAGCCAAGGAGTGGCTCTGATTCCCCAAAGACTGAGTGCCTCAGAAACATGGGCCATACTTTCACTTCCTTGAGTCTCAGATCAGTTCTGTAGGCTTACTGCATATTCCATGCTATTATATAATTAACTCATTTAATCCTCTCTACCATGCTAATAGAGGTAGTATTCTCACTTTATAGATGAGAAAAATGAGGCTCTGAGAGGTGATGTCACTTGTCTGGGCACACAACTGGTTACAGTAGTACTACACCCTATAGCTACCTTTTCTGGCTTCAAAGTTCATGCCCTTGGATATATGCTGTTTTTATAGAAGACTGATTTCTCCATCCCTGTCTGGATCATAGCAGTTCTGCATAGATCTCAGTGCTGAGCACTCCTGACTGGCCTCCTGCCTAGAGGGCCTAGGACCCATAAATCTAGGAGGTAAAGGAGCCTTCATCTCAGGTGAGTCACAAATGAGGTAGGAGAAGGGTCTGGTTTCTAGACTGTCTTTTTTTTTTCTACATGGATGCCTTGGCTCAAAGACAGCCTATGGGCTAGGTATGGTGGTGCACACATGTAATCCCAGTACTCAGAAAGCTGAGATAGGAGGATTGCTGCAAGTTTGAGAACAATGTGGGCTACAAAGTACATTCAAGGCCAGCCTTAACTGCACTGTGAAACCCTGCCTCAAAAAAGACAAAAAACAAAACATAAAACCCCACAAATCCTTGACAGCTTGGGTAGAAAGTCATCTTCATCAACCATGACTATCCCTAGGTTAGATTTGGACTCTGTCTTGCCCCAGGGTCATGTGTCCAGCTTTAGGTTCAGCTTTAGCCCTTACACATACACCTCCTTTCCAAAGGGGAGAGGGCCTGGAACCTTATAGACGTGTGTGTGGAACTAGGACATCTGGGTCTCAGGAGAGGTGAGGTAATGTGAAAACTCTCTGACCATCACTCACTCTTGGCTTCCAATCCCTCTTTACCCCCCTCTCCCTGTTAATCCTGGATTACATTTAAACCTGTTTAGGTAAAAAGATGCCCTACTTGTGCTTCCCCCTCTCTCCAGGCCCTATCACCTGGTTTCTTCTGCCAGCCTTCAGACAGACTAATCTTCCTGGAGCCAAGGGGCTGAAGAGCCAGCCACAGAGAACAAGCAAGGGCACAGCAGAGTCAGCCTTGTGGCCCTGTCTTTTCAGGGATTGATGGGGCACAGAAAGGTTGGTTTATCCTGGATTGAGTGGCCCGCAAGAGGAAGTTAGAGCTCTTGGCTCTCCCACGATTAACTTCTCTTTGTCATGTATCCTGTCTAGAGGATTTGGGGACCAAGTGGGAGTTGTTCAGGGGGCAAACTGAGGAGCAAATTTATTGTCACCTTTGTTAAATTTGTTGAAGCCACCCCATTTCTCAGAAAAGTTGGGGCCAGCTGAGGAGGTCACTACAACTGCATCAGGCCTTTCCTTGTCCATAGAGACAGGGTGATGGGGCATATGATGTTGCCTCCAACCCTATTTGATACCTGCCAGGGGATGAGTATCAGTGTAGGAATTCTCTGCAAACTCAGGGTCTGTTTGGCCTCTTCCTATGAAGACTGCTCATTACCTCCAGATATAGCTTGGCCCATTATTGATCAGCCTCCACAGTTACAGGATTCTTCTTGGGATAGTGGGGTCACCCTGGTGGCTATATCCTCTCCATTCTCTTCTGTGCTGTGTAGCTCCTGCTGTCTTCCCAGAGTGCACAGCACATTTTTCTCCATGACAGACCTCCAGGTATGTGAAAGCAGGAGACCTGGCTCCTCTGGTTGGGCACTCCGCCAGACAAAACATTCCGGGTACAGAAAGAGGGTTTTGCTGGGTCACTGGATGATGCCTGCCTACCTCAGCCAGGTCATTGCAAGGTGCCCCTTTTGAGATGATCTTAGGGCAGGAGAGACAGGAGGGTCCATCTGGGCTGTGTTTCCCTGTGGTCTTGAGGCTGATACCAGTGGGTGGCAATGATATTTGGCCAGGCTTTAAAGCAGTGGTCCGGGTTTCTGCCTTCAAGAGACATCAGACTACTCCCAGTGTCTTCCCCACAGAGAGAGGTTCCCTCTGGTATCCCAGGCAGGTCAGGGTGCCAGCTTCACCCAAATATCAGAGCTAATTTTAGTCAGAACAATCTACTTAAGGCTGCTGCCCAGTTTTGTAAATTGCTTTCTTTTCTCCAGGGAACCAAAGAAGAAATGATATAAATGGCAAGAGCTTTGTAAACTGGCCTGGATGTCCTCCACCCCAACCCAGTGAGCCCCTTCTCCTCTGTTCCCTCTGAACTCCATGGCTGAAACCAGTGCACTAAAAGGAGGGGGCACCCTCGCATGAACCACTGGGGCTGACCTGAAAACTCGATCCTGACCTGGAGGATGGTACAGACCATGGAGGAAAGAGAGTGACCCCTGGGGCCCCAGGGGAAAAAAAAGCAGCAAGGGTTTGTGTGTGGGGGAGCACATTAATGACCTAGGAGATCGAGTATCTTTCCACCTTCCTCTTTTCCTCCCTACCCCCAGTCCGCACCAGGTCCCAATGCCTCCTTTCCCTGTCACCCACCCCCACTCTGCCGCTGCCTCTGAATTCCCTTTCTCCATCACTAACCCCCTTCTTTATTCCCCATTCCCTCAGTTTCACTCCAGCCTCTTCCAGGGATCCCAGCACCCGCACCGGTGTCTGATCACCACAGGAGATAGGCCAGAATCACCCTCCTACTGGTCCTGTCCTGCTCCTTGGAGGTAGCAGAGAGCCCCTTCCTCATGGTCTCCAGGAACTAGGCCCCCACAGCATTCTCCCTTCCCACCTCCTCCTTGTTCTCATCCCTGAGCAGTCCACCCCGTGTCCAGCCCCAGAGTGGCTACTGCAGTACTCACACCGCACGCGTGGGCTCGGCCTCCAACCCGGTTGAGGGGTAGCTTCCCGCTCCCTTTAGCCTCTAGTTCCGAAATCCCCAGGGGTCCGAGGGCACTGGGGCCTTGAGCACAGAGCGCTGGGTCGATTGCCTGGCTGCGCTTGGATGGGATCAGGTGGCCTCGGCGTCCGCTCACTCGGCTGCTCTCGGCTCTGCCCGCTGCCCGCCCCCCATCTCACACTGGAGGCGGGGCGGGGGCGGGGGGGGGGGTCCCGGGGGGTCAGCGGAAGGGGAGAGGAGTATGCCTTCGTACCGGAGGTGGGTCCCGTGGGGAATGGGTTGTCTGTGAACACGGGGTTGAATCTTT